CTGGGGGATCCGTTCATGATGCTAGAAAATCCTAAATGATTGCTTCTTTTGGAAGGGCAAAATATGAGGGTGAACTCTTAATTATGAAACGCACTGTATGACAAGGCTGGATCACATACATTTTCGACGACTCGGCAAAAATATCGAAGCATAGTCGAAAACCTGTGCTGCATCCAGCATACAGCCATGAACTTGCGCCAACTGAATATCACTTATTTCGGTCGTTGCCGAGCTCCTCTTATGGGAAAACCTTCGCTTAAGATGATTTCAATCTTATATGACCTCTTGGTCTTGAGTCTGCGAGGGAGGAGCTATAAAATTATCAAAATGATGGCGAAAAAAATTGAACAAAATTGGGTGAAAGTGTAGTTAAAGGGCCAATCTTCACAATGTTAGTATAACAAGGAATAAGCTGAAATGAACTCAATGAAACGTGTTATGCCGTGTTACATCAGAGACATGCAAGCTTTTAATTAGGCTTAAGCAGAGAAGGAGCACGGAGGTGGGTACCTTTTCTATCATTTTTTCTTTCTTCTCGCACTGAGGTGATCATCTCACCCACCCTGGTGCTCCCACCCTACTCAGCTTAGTTTAAAAACTACATTACCTTTAGGTTTCATGTACGGCTTTCTATGAACCTCGGCAACCTCGGCATAATTGTATCATTGAGTTTGCTGTTTTCTTGAACTCTTCACGAGGTTTTTAAGTATGCTTTATTAGGCTGACGTTTCGGCGGAATCGCCTTCTTCAGAGCCTGAAAGGATCATAACAATCTGTGACTATCCGATCAAACGTCTCCACCAGCCCCACTAAAGCTCGAGACCCATCGCAAGTGATTGGAAGGAGAACCACTCACCGTAGCTTTGTGGATTCTTCAAAACCACCCAGCGAGTGATGGTACCAACCGACCAGTGTGAGCTGGGGTATGTCCTCATTAAAGTCTCTGCGGGAAGGCCAGCCTTATATAAGGTCGAAGCACACACGTGATTGCGATACATTTTTCCCTACGACTCATTTTTGGATCGGTGACTTGTATCCAAAATGCCTCGAGGGTTTTACGCGCGCATAATTGCGATTTCTGTGCTACGACCTCCACGGTGACTTCAAATCGCCTCCGTTATGCTTTGGATTCGGTGACTCCCCAAGGCAGTAGACTCTTTCAATCGCCTCATACCATCTATGTGCTCCTTAACCCTAACGTGGAGTGGTCTTGCCGTTTCTCCAATATACTCGTCACCACAATCACGGCAAGTAATTTTGTAGACCATCCCAGACATATTACAATCACCCTCCCTTCCAGCTGGACAAACCACACAGTTTGAGGTAGTACACAGGCCTATAGCCTGTTCCGAACCAGGCGCTTCTTTAGACTGAAGGGTGGTACGTTTATAATGGTAACTAAATTTTCCGAACCCGATCTTTTTAGACACTTTTTAATAGAGGCACTGACCTCATCAGAAATAAATGGCAGTACAAAAGGAATTTTTTGAAGTCACCGTGGAGGGCGTAGCACAGGAATCGCAATTGTGCGCCCATAAAACCCTCGAGGCATTTTGGATACAGGTCACCAGTCCCGAAATGAATCGTAGGGAATAATGCCTCGCAATCACGCGTGAGCTTCGACCTTATGTAAGGTTGGCCTTCCCGCAGAGACTTTAATGAGGACATATCCCAGCTCACACTGGTCGGTTGGTACCATCACTCGCTGGGTGGTTTCGAAGAATCCACAAAGCTACGGTGAGTGGTTCTCCTTTCAATCACTTGCGTGCCCTGGGGGTCTCGAGCTTTAGTGGGGCTGGTGGAGACGTTTGATCGGATAGTCACAGATTGTTATGATCCTTTCAGGCTCTGAAGAGGGCGATTCCGCCGAAACGTTAGCCTAGTAAAGCATACTTAAAAACCTCGTGCAGGGTTCAAGAAAACAGTAAACTCAATGATACATTAGCTTTGCTAAAACTGCATAAACGCGCACAGATGGCCGGTAAACATCGTCCTCTTCGATTCTGATACAGTGCTAATATAACACAAGGATTGATAGGTAAGACTGAATTCATTCCTTGATACACTAACCTTGTGATGGGTGCCCCTGGTCCCCCCCCCCTCCCCCTCCCCACTACATTATCATCCAAAATTTGGCGTATGTATATCACTGAG